TAGTTCTAATTCATGCAGAACCACAAAAGATCCCGAACAGCCAAAGCAATCCTGAAAAGGAAGAATAAAGCTGGAGGGATTATGCTCTCCTACTTCAAGCTCTACTACAAAGCTACACTAATCAAGACAATTTCATACTGGCACAAGAACAGACTCATAGATCAATGGAACAGGATAGAGAGCACAGATATAAACCCAAGCATATATGGTCAATTAATATATGATAAAGGAGCCATGGAGATACAATGGGGAAATGACAGCCTCTTCAATAACTGATGTTGGCAAAACAGGACAGTTACATGTAAGAGAATGAAACTGCATTATTGTCTAATACCATACACAAAAGTAAACTTGAAATGGATCAAAGACCTGAGTGTAAGTCATGAAACCATAAAACTCTTAGAAGAAAACATAGGCAAAAATATCTAATATAAATGAGTAACTTTTTCCTCAAGCAAGGGAAACAAAAGCAAAAAATGAACAAATGAGACTACAGCATACTAAAAAGCTTCTGTATAGCAAAGGACACCATCAGCAGAACAAAAAGGCATCCTACAGTATGGGAGAATATATTTGTAAATGACATATCTGACAAGGGGTTAAAATCCAAAATATATAAAGAACTCACATGCCTCAACACCCAAAAAGCACATAATCCAATTAAAAAATGGGTGGAGGATATGAACAATTCTCTGAAGAAGAAATTAAGATGGCCAACAGGCACACGAAAAGATGCTCCACATCGCTAATTATCAGGGAAATGCAAATTAAAACCACAATGAGATATCACCTCACACCAGGTAGGATGATCAACATCCAAAAGACCAGGAACAATAAATGCTTGTGAGGATGCAGAGAAAGGGGAACCCTCCTAACTGCAATGGTTGAATGTAAGCTAATTCAACCATTGAGGAAAGCAATATGGAGGTTCCTAAAAAATCTAAAAATAGAAATACAGTTGACCCAGGAATTCCACTCCTACAAATTTACCCAAAGGAAACAAATTCTCAGATTCAAAAAGACATATGCACCCCTATGTTTACTGCAGCACTATTTACAACAGCCAAGATATGGAAGCAACCTAAGTGTCCATCAGTAGACGAATGGATTCTTCTTATTCAGCCATAAGAAGAAAATAAATGCTACCATTTGAAACAACATGGATAGAGCTAGAGGATATTATGCTCAGTGAAATAAGCCAGGTGGAGAAAGACAAGTACCAAATGATTTCCCTCATTTGTAGAGTATAACAATGAGGCAAAACTGAAGGAACAAATCAGAAACAGACTTACAGACTCCAAGAAGGGACTAGCAGTTTCCAAGGGGGAGAGGTGGGGGAGGGTGGGTGAAGAGGGAGGGAGAGGGGGATTGAGGGGTATTATGATTGGCACAGATGGTGTGTGGGGGGGTCACGGGGAAGACAGTGTAGCACAGAGAAGACAAGTAATGACTCTGTGGCATCTTACTACACTGATGGACAGTGACTTCAATGGAGTCTGGAGGGGACTTGATAATATGGATGACTGTAGTAACCACTATATTTTTCATGTGAAACCTTCTTAAGAATGTATATCAATGATACCTTAAAAAAAAAAACTGAATCTCTAGCAAATGGTTTCCAGGAATAACCACTGGGTTCACAAATGTCTCCACTGAGCTTTAGTGGTGGCTCTTTACCCTTGGGGACGTTTTGTACTAGGTGAACAGGTGGAGCCCTTAAAACTGAGATCCTCCTCTCTGTCAATACCCAACTTCAGCCAGTGCAGCCCTGTTTACACGTTGGTTTTCCAAAGAATTCTTTTTGGTACACAGGGTTTTGATGCTAGCAAGTCAGAAGTCCAATGATCTGAACAACAGCAGGTGAAAGATGTGAGCAGTCTTATAGCCAGGTGAACATAACATGGAATAAACAAGGAACTTATTTTTTTAAGAAGCCTCAGAGTCCAGATTTAGAACTATAGATACTAGAACTGTATTATCCAAAAGACAGCCATTAGTCACATGGGGCTATTTTAAATTTAAATCAAATGGAATGAAATAAAAGACTCAGCTCCTTAGTTGCATTAGGCACATTACAAGTGCTCAATAGCCATGTATGCCTAAGGGCTACTGTGCCAGACAGATGTAGAATATTTCCATTATTGCAGAAAGGTTGTTTTGACAGTGCTGTTTCAGAGATTCCATGTTGCTTTACAGAAGAGAAAACCTATTGAAACCTATGGTATAGTAGACTGAGTAACAGCCCCCAGAGATAATCTGGTCCTAATCTTGAGCCTGTAAATGTTACTGTATGTGAAAAAGGGTCTTCGTAGATGTAGTATGTTAAAGATCCTGAGATGGGAAGATCATCCTAGATCATGGCTATCAGCCCTATATCCAATCACAAGTGCCTTTGTAAGAGGGAGGCAGAGGGCGATTCCATGCACAAAGGAGGTGTCCATGTGAAGACAAGCAGAGATTTGATGTTGGCCTTGAAGACTGTACTGATGCCAATTCAGGCTGAGGAATGCTGGCAGACCCCGGAAGCTGGCAGATTTGAAGAACACATCCCCACCCACACACAAGCCTCAACTCACTGGACCTGATTTCTGACTTGTGGTCTGCAAAACTGAGAATAAACTTATTTAGTTTAAGATCACAAATATAGCCGGAGCTGGAAGCTCACCACTCTCCCATGCTGGACCCTCCTTCGCTGTGCTTTTATTAGTGCCTTATGGGTGGGTGGAGGTAGGTAGATATCACTTATTCATTAGTTAATTAAAAAATTTCAGAGTTACAGCAATGAAATTACAAGACTTACTGAGGTTTACATCCTGAGTGACATGAGCATGTGGCTAAAATATAGAGGATTAACAAATACCTCAAAAACAACAGATTATCAAACATAAAAAAACAATTTATGGCTTATTGCAATGTCAACTGTTTATGTATACTTTTAATAAATTTCATTTACGCAGTACAAAACATCTCCAAAGCTCAAGTTGTAAAAATTAAGAATGGAGACAAGTTAAGACATCAGGAAAAACATTGTAATTATAATTTTTGCCTTGTGGGCCATACAGCTTTGACCTGCAGTGTCCCATTATGCAGGCTGTTATAATGAGACAATTTTTCTTAACAACCTCAATTAGTTTTGGCTCATATTCCACTAAATGTAAAGTTGAATTTCCAGGCTTTTAAAAATCTTTATAGTATAACTAATAAAATTGGTCTCCTCAGTCACTACCACAGGACTCTGACTTAATCCTATATATTGTAATTTTGGTGTATCTAGGTTACAACAGTATCAATACTAAATGATAACAGCATCACTCTAGAGACTGGGAAGGAAAGTGGCACAAAGAACCCAAGTTTCTGAATGAGATTTATTCCTATTGGAAGAACAGCACAATTCAACTAGCTCTTTAAACTAAAATGCTCATGTTAATGAGTAAAGTATCTGAAATTACTTTTTAAGTTTATCAAAACTTCGTTTGTGTGAAACCATTTTTCACCTATTTCTTCAGCATATCAACTCTGACATGAATTACCAATGGTATTTTAATTTTTTTTTAGTTTTTCTGAAACTCAAATACATTTTTTTAAAATTAAGGTAATATTGATATACCATAAGATAAATCTTATGAAGGTTTCACATGAGCAACACTGTGGTTTCAACATTCACCCATATTATCAAGTCCTCCCCCGACCCCATTGCAGTCACTGTCCATCAGTGTAGTAAGATGCTATAGAGTCACTACCTGTCTTCTTTGGGCTGTACTGCCTTCCCTGGGACCTACCTATATTGTGGGTGCTAATTATAATGCCCCTTAATCCCCTTCTCCCTCCCTCCCCACCTGCCCTCCCTACCCACTTTCTCTTTGGTAACCACTAGTCACTTCTTGGAGTCTGTGAGTCTGCTGCTGTTTTGTTCCTTCAGTTTTGCTTTGTCGTTATACCCACCAACGGTTTTTTTTATTAGCATTTCAATGAAACTACCAGTTGACTTGACCACTGTGTACTTAAAGTTATTTGTGACCTCATGAATATTCAAAGATGCCTTCTCTTTTTGATGAATTCCAGCTGAAGTTGAGGATATGACCACCATACTCATTCAGCAATACATGTGGAAAATGGTCAAAACTCGGCCCTTGTTGATGAAAGGCTTGTGTGTGCAGTTGCTTATATGTCACTAATTGCAAGGATGCCTTTTGAAACTCTCAACCTGTGGAATCTCATTCTCCTGATGAAAGAGATTAGGATCAAAACTGAGCCCCATTTGTCAACCCTTCCTACCAAATTCCAGACAAGAACAGATGGTTTATAAAAATCTGTTTAAAATTAGAATTTAGATTACATAAAGAATAGAATGGTTTGTGGGCTTTTGACCAAAATCAGGTCCTGATTTTTTGAGGTGGAGGAAAGTGGAAAAGGAGAATGTATTTTTAAACCACCCACCATTCCTTATAGCCTTTTCTGTTTCTTTCTTGCTGACAGACTTCAATACCTATTCCAACATCTGAGCTCAATCTCCCACTACAAAAAGTTTTGTTATTACAAGTCTGAATATTTCTGCCTAAAAACTGCCACTCTTTTCTTATTTTTTGAAGTATTTTCATATAGAGTAATATTGATGTCTAGCTCCCTGTTGAAAGTTTAATTGCCAGCCTACTAACTATTCAAATGAACTCACCCTGAAGAAATAAGGTAGAAATGCTCCATGTTCTAGGTTCTGAGGTTCAAGTTTGCCAGGTCCTTCTAACAAACCTTTAGCTCCATGCTCCATACTTTGTCACATTCAACTCTACAGGTTTCACTCTGCTTAAATCATGTACCTACAGAGCCAGTGAGAAGTGTTTGAAAAAGCTCAGCTCCTTGTAGATTCAGCATGAAGTTTCTATAAGACCAATGAAACAAAACTATAGGTTTGTGCCCTGAATACACACCCAAGTGGCAGGTTCACATGCCACTCTATTTCGGTTTGGCCTCTGCAGGATGATCAACCGCAAAAAAATGAGATATCATCTTTCCCAAACTTTCCTCATGTGCAAGTTTTGTTTCCAAATGAGTCTCACTGCTTCTTTGTCTGCATTTAACTTTTTGGCCATTTTTCTTACAGTCAATTGGCTATTTGAGTAAACCATGTTTCCGACCCTCTCAATGTTTTCATGTGTTCTGTGGGTGACTGCATGGCCACTTCGAGCTCATTGTGGAATCATCTCTGCCTCCTTTAAACCTTTTATGCCAGTCCAAAACTCTTGCTCTTGATATTACTTCTTCACCGTAAACTAATTTTAACATTTCAAGTGTCTCACTTGCAGGTTTGCTTAGCTTAACACAAAGTTTAATATGAATTATTTGCTCTATGTAACAGTCACTCATTTTTATGGTGGAAAAAGAATCATTCTACTCACATGTCCTCACAAAGTTACTGACCACCATGGAAGCACTGTCGTGGCTAGCTGGAACATGTTACAGCATGTCCAGGCAACAATCACTCCTCCTCTGACCTCACAAGCCACACGAGTAATTAGTCAAAATTAAAATGGAAGCATGCAAATGATCTTTGGAGAAGGTGATGAAGGTTTTAGAATCATACCATCTCAGCCTGAATGCCTTCTATTTTCCCATCTACAAAAGGGGAGAAAATAAATCAGCATTTTCCCATTTGTCAAATGGATAGGAAAATGATACTTGAAATACATTGACTATGTGCAGGGAGCATTTACCGTGCCCCCTGCAAAAGAACCTAAGATAAAATACATCCTAATAACATTATGGAAACTGCCACCTAGCAGTATATTTAGAATGAGCTAATTTGAAATTATGGTTTTCCTACTGATAGGCCAAATGCAAGATACTAAAATAGTTTATTTCCGAATACGTATCAAGAGAATGAGACTGTTGTCTCTAGTCTATATAATACAATGTGTTTGGTTGGGTACCTAGGAATTCCAACACTTAAGTACTGTTACCCATACTTATCCTACAAATACTGCCTAGTGTATTTAGAGTTTAAACAAACACATATACTTTGAAAAACAGCATCTCATAAGCTTTAAACAGGGATTTCTTTCACTTAGTTCTCGAACTTTGAAAGGCTTTCACCAATTGTTTGTACAATGCAACTAAAATTAAAATTTTAAATTTTAATTTAATTTTAAAGTGGAATTAAAATTAAAATGAGGTTTTCCAATGATTGATTGTGACCTTAGATTGTATCTATTGATGAATTTTGCTTTTTATTTTTGTGGTGTAATACACATAACAAACCTTTTAGCCATTTTAAGTACAATTCAGTAGTATTAATTACATTCACGATGTTGTATAACCATCACATTTCCATAAATTTTCCATCATCCCAACAAAATTCTGCATCTATTAAACAGTAACTCCACATTCCCTCCTCTCCCTGGACCCTGGTAATCTCTATTTTAACTATTGTCTTTATGAATTTAACTACACTAAGTATCTCATGTAAGTGGAATCATACAGTATTCATCTTTTTATCTGGCTTATTTCACTTAGCATAATGTTTTCAAGGTTCACCATGTTGTAGCAGGGATTATTCACTCCTTTTAAAGGCTGAATAATATTTCTGTTGTATGTATATACATTTTATTTATCCATTCATCTCTAGATGGACATTTGGGTTGTGTTCGCCTTTCAGCTATTGGGAATAACATTGCTATGAACATGGGTGTACAAGTATTTGAATATCTGCTTTCAGTTTTGGGGGTATGTACCAAGAAGTCGAATTGATGGGTCATATAGTAACTTGATGCTTAATTTTTTGAGGAGTCATCAAACTGTTTACATAGCTGTTACACCATTTTACATTCCCACCAACAATGCTCGAGGTTTCTAATTTCTCCATATCCTTGCCAATACTTGTTATTTTATACAAACTCTCACAATAGTACACGAAGATTCGGAAACCACAGGGTTAAGTATTTTCGTCCCATTTTCCATTTGCTTTCTTTGCCCCTTTTTCTTGGCAGTGCTTTCCCTTTAGTGAAAACTTGGACTTGGGCTCAAGACTTTTAGTCTTAAGTAGAGTAACTTAAGATAATTTTGTGGTTTGCTAAGTGCAAAAATTCAATACTTATTGACATGCCACTCCTTTATTGGTGGAATCTGAATTACCTTTTTAGGAGGTGGAGAGGAATGCTCTAAGTATTCCTATTCAATAAAAACAAACTTCAAGATGTAAATGTGACTTTTCCTTCACTTGCGCAAACTGTAAATCTGAAAAAGCAAAGGCTAAAAATGGGCTGGGACAACAGGAACCATTTAAATAAGGCGGTCTATACTATGCTATACTCATGGTATCATACTGTACTGCATGCACTAAAAAGTGTGTAGACAATAGAACCACAAGATCACCCACTAGTTTTAGTTCAAATTTGCGTTTCAAAATTGCAAACCCTTCAACACCGACGGAATGAGCGTCAGTTCCTGGCAGGGCCTAATGGGTTCCTTGTGCCTAGTGGCATGAGAGCCGCTGTGACGGCGCATCTCCACTCCCCGTGCGGACGAGCCGGCAGGTGAGCGTCAGGTGTAGTTCAAATTTGGGCGTCTAAAAGAACCCAAAACCCGGGCCGAGTCTCACCTCGGGCTCGGGCACGCCGGGCCCGGGGCTCAAGGAGAGGCAGCAACCTGCCTGTAGCTCGTCAAACTCCCTGGCCTCGCACCCTGCCCGCCGCCTTCCCTCAGCTCAAGAGCAAGAGACAAAGCAGAGGTACAAGTGTCCAAAAGCTGGACCTAGCGACCGCGCGCGACAGTTGACAGGCTCCCTCCTCCACGAGAATCCTGGAAGACGCGGTCGGCCAATCAGCGGGTGGGGGATGTCCCGAGGACACCCGATTGGTCAAATCCGGGAACGCTCGCGTCCCATTGGCATCTTTTTCCCATGTCCACCCCCTTGGCCTGAATTCCCGCCCCGCTCATAGTCCCATCCTCTCAGAGGGTTGGGAGGAGAGGAGGGTCTTATGCTTGCGCTTGGTTCCCGGTGCGGTATCTCTGGTGTCTTGAAGCCTAACCCCTCACTAGTGGGAATTTCGGGCCATTTTACGCTCGGGTTCTGACAAGTTCTACTTATTCCTAACCTTGTCCGTTTACCCGGTGTCCCACACTGACCCATTCCTCGGCCGGGAGGTGATTTTTACCTGTGCTTGGGACAAAGCAGGGTTGCATGGACCTTGCAAATTAAGGTATTTCTCTTAAAGTTTTCTAATCACAGTATCTGCCATCTTGCTCTGCATAATATGCAATGAGCATTAATTTTGGTGGGCATTACTAAACCTACTGTGCTTTCTTACTAAACCATCAAAATAGCCCCAGGGAAGGAGGTAGTGTTATTCCCATCTTTCAAATGAGGAAACAGAGACATAAAGGAATTTCGTAATCTGCCCAAGTTCTGTTTGCTCTCTAAACATCAACTATACTCTGCCCTTTCATCCCTATTGCCCTACTTTAATTCAGGCCTTCGTAATTGCTTGCCTGGATTACTTCTACAAACTGTCCCCTAGCTCCTCTCCTTGCTACCCTCTACAAAGCCAAGGATTAATCTTCCTAATGCAATCTGATCATGTCTCTGAAATGTCAAATCCTTCTGTGGTCCCTTACTGCCCATAGGTTTTGGCAGAGGCTGCATTTTATTGAAATATTACACACCTACTGATGAGTACACATATCAAATATACAGCCTGCTGAAATTTCACAAAGGAATCTACCAGCAACCAGCTCAAGAAACAGCATCCCAGAAATGTTTCTTTTCAGTCACTAGTCACTCCCTTCCATTCAAGGGTTATCCATTATCCTAAGAGTAGGAAGTGGACTAGTATCCTTATGTTTGTACATTATATAAATGGGACCATTACAGTACATACACTTGTGTCTGGTTTCTTTAACTCACTATTATCCTCATGAGGTTCATCCATATGTTGACTACAGTTACAGTCTGTTCATGAGAAGACTGAATTGCATTTCACTGTGTGAATATACCACAATTATTTCTCCTGTCAATTGTTGATAGACATTGGAGTAGTGTACGCTCTGGAGCTATTAAAAATATTGTCGCTATGAACATTACAATAAAAGTCTTTTGGAGAACACTAATGTGTTTCTGTTGTATATATACCTACAAAAGGTGCTGTAGGGTCATAGATGCTGTGTTCAAACTTAGTAGACATTTTTAAAGTTTTCCAAAATATTTGGATCACTTTACATTCCTATAAGCAAAATAATAATGAGAGTTCCTATTGTTCCACATTCTCATGAACATGTTGTTTTCCACCTTTTTTCAATTTAGGTATTTTGACAGGTGATAATTGCGTTTCATGTGATCATAATTTGCATCTCCCTGATGATTAATGAAGTTGAACACCTCTTTATGTTTATTGGTTATTTAGAAATAACTTTATGAAGAGTCTGTTAGAATTGTCCATTTTTCAGTGTACTGTCTTTTTTATTTGTATTACTCCTAACATTTGATTATAAAAAATTTCAAATATTAGGAAAATTTAAGGAATTTTCAGAAAATACATGTAGACCTTACACAGAGATTCCAGCATTAACATTTCATACAACTTGCTTTATTACATTTCTATCCTTTATCCATCTTAATGTTGTATTTCAAACTAAATTGCAGATAGCAATATGTCTTCCAAATACTTCAGCCTGTATTATCACTAACTAAAATTCAGTAAAGTTTCTTTTGGTGTCTAACTTAGATGAAATGAAGTATACCTATCTTCAGTGTACATTTGTTGAGTTTTAAGCAAATGAGTTTTGAGTTCTATGCTGCCTCCCAGTCAATCTTTGTTTCCACTCTCCTGGGGGGCAACCACTGCTCTGATTTTTTCCGACTGTAGATTAGCTTTATCTGTTTCAAAATTTCACATAGATGAAATTACACAGCATGTACTCTTTGGTAAGACTGCTTTCCCTGAGCACACTGTATTACTGATTCATCCATGTTGTTGCATTGTCAGCAATTCATTTCTTTTTATTGCTGAGTAGCATTCCATTGGATAAATATACCAGTTTGTTAATTTTAAGAGGATTTTTTTTTAATGCACTTTGTCAGGTGCATGTGTTATAAGTATCTTCTCCCATTCTGGGTTTCTTTTCATTCTTTTAATGGTATCTTTTGAAGAAAAAAGTTCTTAATTTTAATTCTCCAATTTATCAGTTTTATGGTGTTTTCTGGATTTAAGAAGTCTCTGCCTCTGCCAGGTTATTAAGATTCCTCCTCTGTTTTCCTCTAAAAGCTTTACTGTTTTAATTTACCTATTTAGACATGCAATTCATTTGGATTGATTGTTGTAAATGGTGGGATATAGAGGTGAGTCCAGGTACCTTTTTGTTCCATGAGGATA